CCTCCCCCCCCTCCTCCTTCTCCTCCTCCTCCTCCCCCCCCCTGGACAGACAGACGTCGTCGGCGTCGTACTTCCGGGGCCCTCCCGGGCGCGGGCAACGCGTGCCAGGCGGGGGGGGGGGCTAACAACCCAGACCTCCGACCTAGATTTCCCCCCATTCGTAGCCCTAGGCGAACGGAACCCCCAAACCGGGTGGTGAGATACCAGGTGGCGACCTGGAATCCCCCAAAAAGGTCACCGCTGGGTTTGGGGACACGGGTCACCACCGGGTTTTGTGACTCCTGGACCCACTAATGTTCGGGACATCCTCGGAACAAAAACCGCACGAGTCCCCAAACCGGGTGGTGACACCAAATCGCCCGAGACTCACCGCCAGGTACTACCAAGAACCCCAGGCCTCTCGACGACTGCCCGGTGCTTCCGGTGCCTGTCGCCCCGGCCGCACCGAGAACAAGAAAACACCGCGCGTGTTTTTTTTACTCGGGATGCCGGGGGTGGCCCTTATGGAGAAGGGCAGCTCTCCAGCCCAGGCCGCGAGGCGCGAGGCGCGATTGCCCGGGCGCCGCCGATTGGTGACCTGGGAGAAGCAACTGCTTTCGGTTTCTACACCCTGCGAAATGCTTAAGAAATCATGGGTTAAGAAATTCATAGTCTCAGAAATTGAATAAAACCCAGGACTTCTATCAAAATCTTGGGATTTACACTGGAAAGTTAAGAATCATCGAGACTCTGGCCGAAAATTTAAGTTTTCTCAAGCATCGCCTAAAAAGTAAAGTCCCGCCCGCAACGGGTAACAACCAAAAACGCACGTGGCTTTTCTCTGGGTATTTGAGCTAGGGCCAAAGAGGACAACCACGATTACATTGGACAACTTACATGTACGCCCAGGCTCTGAGCATAACGGGGGGCGACTCGGAACGTTCACAGGCCTTGTTGCACTCCCCACAGTGGGAAGCAGCAGTCGATAAGTGCACGCAGACATTGTGCATGCCTCTTCCTCCCTCCCCTCCCTCCCCTCCCTCCCCTCCCTCCCCTCCCTCCCCTCCCTCCCTCCGTCTCCCCCCAGAACGCTGCGCAGTTGTTCCTCGCACTTCGGCGGTACAAAGAAGACAACGAGGCCGTCTAGGCGCAGCCTTTCTTGTCCTGTCCTGTCCTATGGCTAACACCAGGGCTATGGCTATGGCGATGGCTAGGGCTACGCCTACGGTTATGGCCGTTGGTGTTGCCAAGAAGCGCCGAGCATGTTCAATCGCGTCCTGCATCCATGCCCCAGCGCCAACTCCAGATCAGCTCCCGACGAGAAGACGAGACAACGATGCGACGATATGAGGCTTCACGAGGCGATAAAACGAGAAGACGATAAGACTATATAAAGATGGCGGTCACCCTATACACTCGACCAGGATAGTAAGGATGCGCGGTAAATATGCAAGGGCCTTGGAACGCCATGTTGACGTGTTCCGTGCGGAGTGCAGCAGAATGCCGAAGGATGCCGAATACACAAGGGGCAAGGCTGAAAGGGTAGCCTTGGAACGTTGCCCCATCCTTACTATCATGGTTGACTGTACCATCTTATCTTATTCTCGTCTTATCGTCTGATGAGACTCCATATCGTCGTTTCGTCTTACCGTCTTATCGTCTGGCGGGGCCCTGTATCGTCTTATCGTCTTATATCGCCTTACCGCCGTATCAGCTTATCGTCTGATCGCCTGGCTTTGAAACAACAAAACCTATGTCCCATCATAATGTATGTCTACATGTAACTACATGTATACACACATTGAATGATAACATGATCGACCCACGAACCCGGAAAGGAATATAGAGGAATAACAACCTGCTTGGGCGACGGGCAATTGCAATGCTGAATGTATCGATCTTGATGTGCCGTGCCAAAGGCTGTACTGTGCTGCACCGTGCTGAATTGCGATGTGTTATGCTACGATTGTGCTCTATAGCGGTGTGGATCGAGTCTTCCGTTGCAGTCGAGTCCTGACCGAACTGATCTGGATCGTAAGCTCGAGTAGCCCGAGCACATAGAAGCTGCCGCAGAGCTAATTGACATGGGGGGCGCGCCGCGGAACGTCCCAAGGGACGCGCCAAGCGACGTGCCAGGGGACGTGCCATGGGGACGCACCGCGGGACGTGCCAAGGAGACGCACTACGGAACGTGCCAGTGGAGATGCCACGGGACGTGCCAGGGGACGCGCCGCGCGACGCGCCGCGCGACTCGCCAGGGGGACTCGCCAAGGGACGTGCCACGTTGCAAAACTGCATGCACGGATCTTGGCGTACCGTGCCAAGGGCTGTGCTGTGCTGCACCGTGCTGAATTGCGATGTGCCATGCCGCGATTGCACTCTGTAGGGTTGTGGATCGAGTCCTCCTTTGCATCCGAGTCCTGACCGACCTGATCTGTATCTTAAGTTCGAGCTGCCTGAGCACAGAGTAGCTGCCTTAGGGCTAATTGACAAGGGGACATGCCAAGGAGACGCGCCGCGGAACGTCCCAAGGGACGCGCCAAGCGACGTGCCAAGGGACGTGCCATGGGGACGCACCGCGGGACGTGCCAAGGGAACGCGCTACGGAACGTGTCAATGGACGTACCACGGGACGTGCCAAGTAACGCGCTGCGCGACATGTCAGGAGGACACGCCACGGGACGCGCCACTGCACGTGCCAGGGAACGTGCCAGGCGACGCGCCAGGGAACGTGCCAAGGAACGCGTCAGGGAACGTGCCACGGGACGTCACTGACTCAGCGCCAGGGCGCCAGGGAACGCCCCATGGACGGGCGGGGTTGGACTGCGACGCACTTTATTGCAACGAGCGTTTCGCACGAGACATCCTCAACAATTCCTCATGTTAGACATCCGCCTGGGCGACCTGGACACGTGAAACCAAGCGTCTCGCTCGGCACATCCTCAACACGTTCTCATGCTAGACATCTGCCTGAGCGGCCTGGACACATGACAACAAGCGTTTCGCTCATCACATCCTCAACACATCCCTATGCTAGACATCCGCCTGGGCGACCTGGACACGCGACAACGAGCGTATCGTTCGAGAGGTCCCCGGAACATCTTCATGTTAGACATCCGCCTGGGCGACCTGGACACGTGAAAACAAGCGTTTCGCTCAACATATCATCAACACATTCTCATGCTAGACATCCGTCTGGGCGACCTGGACACGCGACAACGAGCGTCTCGCTCGAGACATCCTCCGAACACCTTCATGTTAGATATCCGCCTGGGCGACCTGGACACATGAAAACAAGCGTTCCGCTCAACACATTCGACCCGAACACGTGAAAGCAAGCGTCTCGCCCGATGAGCGACCTGGAGGCGTGAAACCAAGCGTCTCGCTCGAGACATCCTCAAGACCTGGGCACGTGAAAACAAGCATGAGACATCCTCTGGATTCTGGTCCCCAGGAGAGGTCGATCTATAGCACAAACCAGGCGTTTCGCTCGAGACTTTCTCAACCAATTCTGAAAGACAAGCGTTTCGCTCGAGACATCCGCAACACGCAAAAGTGCATACTTCACCGCGTGTTTCATCGATCGGAATTCAACAAAAACAAGCGTTTTGCTAGGGACATCCCCAAAATTCAATTCCGCCCGCCGATCCTGTGTCGGCTTATGGAAGAGGCTTTTCGATCTGCCCCCTCTGAGGCATTCCTGTCTGCCCCCTCCTCTTCGTCGTCGTCGTCGCTGCTTCCCCTTTCCCAGGCCTCCCCCTCAAATGGCGAAGCAAAAGGAAATTGAGCAATGTCGTAATCACAAAATTGGTCCACGTCGTCATTGAGTCGAAAGGCAGCCCCTTCCCTTTCATCCCTTCGCCGCCGCGGGGGGGAGGGTCCCGGGGGGGTCCCGGGGGGGGGGCCTCGGGGAAGTCGCCGGGGGGATCCCAGGTTCAACACGACGCCACCCCCCTCTTGGTGGCCTCCAGGGGCCTCTTGGGGGGCATCTTTTTTCCTGGCTGCTCAGGAAACATCTCTTCGGCTCGTGGTCGCAGGGCCTCGATCTCGCAAAGCCCAGGCAAAAGGTCCAGCGACGCACCTCGGCGCGCTGAAGTCTCCAGACTGAGACCAGCCCCTGCGATTCCACATCTTTGGGCGCCCGAGTTATCCGGGATAACTCGGGCCCGGGGCAACTCGGGTTCGGATTCCCGAAAAACGAACCCGAGGTATCCCTGACCCGAGTTACCCCTGATGATTCGGGGCCCTGACATCTGCCCGCCGTCCGTCCTCGATCAGGGCACGCAGGTCGACCCCAGGGACGGCGGTCGGCCGCAGGGACAAGGTGTCTCACACGCGGCCGGACTGCCGAGCCCACGGACCCGACGGCCTGCTGCTTTTCACAACCCGACAGCAGCACCACACGGCTGTCGTCGGGGCAGGTGCATCATCATCCTCCTCCTCCTCCTCCTCCTCCTCATCCCCGGGCCGACTCGAGCACAGGCCCCGCGGGGTTCCATCCAGGAGGCAAGGACGTCGTGGGCGCGCCGAACAGCCCAGGGGGTCAGGTTCCTTCGGATGGAACAAATCCCTGCGAGGGGTTCTGGCACGGGGGTCACCCCCGTCCCAACCTTCGGAAGAGCAAAGGACTGCGGGGGGGCTCGCGTGGGGGGCTCCACCCCCCCAGGCGCAACCAGAGGAGAAAAATCGGGAAAACCCAGATTGCAAATGCAGTGTGGCAACACTCTAACAGTAGTTGAAGTGAAATTGTGCTAGCAGTTGTGCTGAAATCGCTGTCATGATTTCTGCATCTGTCTGCCCTCACTGCGTGGCAACAAATGCACCACTCGTGAACTCAACCCGTCCCAGAGTTGCGACTTTGGGGCCACCGCTGCCGCGGAAAAAGCCACATGCGGGAAGTGACACCCAATCTGGCAGATACATCGCAGAAATCCCCGTCCCATCCGCTGAACACCCGCCTTCCAAGAAACAGATGCAGGGCGGGTCTGGGCAGGGAGAAGCAAACATCAATGTAACTTCAAATGCGGTTCGACACCCTGTGCGCGCGGTTTGCTTGCAGCATCTCCATGAGAAGCAACGCGACTGCGCGGGCCAACCCAATCGGCAGAGCTTTACCTGGAAAAAAAAACTCCTGCCTGCACCTCTGCTGCATCCCCTCATCTCGTGTACCTCCACTAGGCCGGCAATTCGACGCCCCTCGAAGTGTGATGTTTTTGACCGACCGGTGTATGGGAGACAAAGCTATTGGAGACACATCTGTTGGAGACATACACACGAACACACACACACACACACACACACACGAACACACACACACACACACACTCACACGCACACGCAAACGCAAACGCACACGCACACGCACACGCACACGCACATGCACACACACACACACGCACACGCACACGCACACGCACACACGCACACACACACACACACACACGCGCACGCACGCACACACACACACACGCACGCACACACATACACGCACAGCACACACACGCGCACACACACACATACGCAACACACCACACACAACACACACACACACATGCACACACTCACACGCACACACACACCCACACTGGGCGTGGAAAAAACAAGACAATGGACGAACCCGAAATGGGGAGATCGGGGCGCCCGCGCCGCGAGAGGCTGCTGCGGATCCCTCAGGGTCCCAAGCGACTCCCGAAAGTATCCGAGAGCAAGACGAACATGGCACTGCGAGCGAAAAACTGCCTGCGCGAGGAGCTCCCCGAGAATGTCTGATTTGTTTGGCCCGGAGCCACCCAGAGTCAGTAGGTGAGGAGGAGGAGCAGGAGGAGGAGGAGGAGGACAAGAGTAGGAGGAGGAGGAGGAGGAGGAGGGGGGGGAGGATGAGGACAAGGATGAGGATGAGGATGAGGAGGAGGAGGAAGACAAGGAGGAATAGGAGGAAAAGAAGGAGGGGGAGGACAACAGTACGAGGGGGAGGAGGAAGGGGAGGAGGATGACAAGGGGGAGGAGGATGCGCGCGGCTTGAAGGCGGACGGTCATGCCGTCTCGCCCCGCGAGCCGCGCGCAGGCGCGGCACTGGCGACGAGGAGACCCGACGCCGCGTGAGCGCGACCACACCTAGGACCCCGCGAGGCGAGGCAAGGTCCCAAACGGCCGCACCTACCCCCAGGACCTCGGGCCTCGCGGCACCCCAGGAGCGCACACCGCGGAGACCACCAGGGGCCCCACACCGCCGGGGCCCGAGGCGGACCCCGCAGCCCGTCCAGGCACGGCCCCCCTGGGTCCCCCTGGGACTGGCGTGCGTCCGCCCGCGGCTCCGCTCAGTTCCGCGGTGTGCATGGCCCGGATGGCCTTGGGCCTTGAGCAGCTCCGCGGGGTCCGTCGGCGGCACGATGGCCTCGCCAGCATCATCGCCGCATCCGCCTCCACGAGGCTCTCCAGCGAGAGGCAGCGAGGCTGCCGCAGGTACCGGGGCCTCGTCTTCGACCATGACGTCCACCGCAGCAGGCACCAGCCGCCCGCTTCGCCTCCGCCAGCCTCTGGCGTCGGCGGCGCCTCCGGAGGACCTTGCCCAGGCCCGTGTCCTCGGAGGCTCCCATGCCCTTGTCCTTGACCGTGTCCTTGTCCCTGTCCGTGTCCTTGCCGCCGTCGGCCTCGCCAACGCTCGCCCCAGGCCGCGACGCCATCGCGAAGAGAGAGGCGGAGGCGACCGAGCGCGCGATGGCGGCGACGGCGCGGCGAGGCGCATGAGCCTGCACCGCAGCGCGCACGGCGGCAGCCATCAGGGCGGCGGCAGCGCTGGCGGGTGGAGTTCCTCTAGGCTCTGCCATCGCGCACCGAGGAGGACGCGGGGCGGCACCATGCGATCGCTTGAGCCGAAATGGCTACGGACAAGGAGGAGGAAGAGGAGGAGGAGGAGGAAAACGAGGAGGGTTAAGCGCCTCCTCCAACGCTTCGCCAACGTGCAGCGCGGGCGGGCAAGGCCCCACTGATCCTCCTCCTCCTCCTCCTCCTCCTCCTCCTCCTCCTCCTCCTCCTCCTCCTCCTCCTCCTCCTCCGGTCTCCCTCCTCCTCCGCCACCTCCTCCTTCCCCCCCCTTCCCCCTCCTCTTTTCGAGTGCGGCGGAACTGCCTTGCTCCGCCAGGATGTGCAAGCGATCAACGGCAGGCCAGTCCTCCTCCTCCTCCTCCCCTTCCTCCTGTTCCTCCTCCACCTCTTCCATTTCCTCCTCCTCCTCCTATGTGACTACGTGCCTGTAAAAACCGGGCGTCATACAAGCACAACACACCCTAGAACGGGAAATTCGTCCGCCCTCATGGCCCGCAGCTCACGGCCTGAAAAAGAGGAGGGGGACAGACAGGGATAGCCGAGCCCCAGGGTCTGGCAGGATGCCACGCTTCAGCTTCCTGCTCTCAGAACTGGCCTTGTTTGTGCAAGGGCTGGCCAGCTTCTTATCCATTTTACAAGAGGTGAACGCACCACACACAACGCAATGCACAACGGAAAAACTGTTCCCTTTCCAGCCACGAGACATGGAGCACGTGGTTCCTGGGCGGGCCTTTCAAGAGCTCAGCAAGAAAAGGGTTGAGAACCTCGCATTGCGCACGCCCATCCAAGCCCATCCGTGATAGAAGCCGAATGCAGACCTGATTGGCGACCAAGGAGTCTGAAGCACATGTTGCACCTCCGACGTCCATGGTGCCAGACAAGCACGTGCGGGGTGATGGGCTTGGGGATCGGCCTCGGACCACACGGACCCGAGCAAGCCCCCCCCCCAACAAAAAAAACTCTTCAACAATTGGCCAACTCCCAAGCACCTTCCCCATGCCGTGAATTAGGGTGGTGCGCAACTTGGCAGCATTCTTACACTTACTGAACTGATCGTCGCTGACACTGTGCCCACTGTGCCCACTGACGCTGTCCTGCATGATAGCCGGCAAGTTTGTTGCCACTGACGAAAAACAGCTGGTCCTCAGCCACACTCCCCCCGCCCCCGTGGGCTTTGACTTTGCTGAGCCTCGGGGTGGGGGGGCACCGAGGCGCACGCGGGTGAGTTTCCCTCACATGTGGGCCTTCGGGCTGGCCCCCGAGAGCGCCCACTGGTGGGCATTGGTGCCCTTGAGGAGGGTGGCATAATCAACGAACGCAGAGCCAGTCTGACACGCGTCGGCTGAAAACGCTGTCGCAACAAGGATGGCACAATGCTCGGCACTCGCACTGGACTGTTCCATATTGCCTGGAACATTGGCCCTGATCCCACGTACCAGGGCCCCTTCATCGTCTACCTGCACAACGCTAGCTCCCGCGCGAGATGTGACTGATCTTTGGGAGCAGGCAAAAGCCATCACTGAATAGAGAGACCCCCGCTGGGAACTCGAAGGGCTCGACAGGTTCCCCTCGAGGCCCAAACCACATGTGCATCCAGTCTCCGACTGGGGGTGCGTTAAGGAAGCCTCTGCGGGCGACCCTGGCACGGCTAGACAGGAGAGACCCTGGGCCGTCTCCCAAAGCCTGCTGGATGAAGAACCCGGGGAAACGGACAGCTTACGCAAAAGGACAAGAGCATGGCCAGGCACGGTGCCACGCAGAAACGTTATGGCCGCACCTACTGCACTCAACACTATCATCAAACCCCCCGCCTAGACAACGATTCCCCGGTGGGCAGGGCCCCATTCTCAATTCTTCTACATGGGTGAGCCCGAGCTTCTGGGGGTTCATCTTCTGCTTGCAGAGCTCCCACCGGGGCCCCCGGGTCAGAATGTCCTGGGTGTCGAAGTTAGACCTCCCACACACCTTAGCAACATGATTGTGGATGTACTGGTCTATGAGCAGAGAGGAGAACATCCGCACAATGAGGGCGGGGCAAACTTCAGTGCAATTCAGCTCGTGGCATTGGGAGTCCACAGAGATCCTCGGGCTGCTGCATTTCCAACCAGCCTCCTCACACCAATGGTGCTATCCGTCACTGGCCCTCTAGAGCGAAAAATAAAAGTGCTTCCTTTCTCTCTCCTCGATGCGACTGGCGGCGGAGACTGCCACTTCGCGCAGCAGCTGAGCCTTCAGCACATCCCTTTGGACATGTTCATTATTGTGGAAGGCTGTGGCCATCCACCACTCTGCTGCATATCTACCAATACTTCTCCTTGCGATGTCGATCGGGTCCTGATACACTGATGGAGCCCATCCAAGGTCCACCTGAGCCCCTTTGAATAGCACCCCAGTCCTTCCCCGAAGACAAGCGGAGTCGCCTAACTTGAGGCGGGCTGGCGGCATGCACATCACCTCCGTACGATATAGTCGCCTTCAGGTTGGTCTGGGGAAGTCGATTTTTCTGCCCCGATGTTATGCGAAACCTTCTCATTCGTCTTCGTCGCGCATGGTGCATCGCCCATATTTTGGCGCGGGCACGACCGGTCCCAAGTCGAAGACGGTGTTGTCCCCCAGGGAAGTCGATGCCCAAAGTGGTGGGGCCCCTCCGCGGCGCGCCCCAACGAGGTCCTTCCGGGCTTTCCGCCCCAGCATAAAGAAATGGACCGGACAACGAAGCAACCCCGATCTTGTGGCTGGCCAGCGGCAGGCGAAGGTCGTCTACCAAATCCGAGCGGACCTACTCAGCTAGCCTCTGAAGCGCCCCCGCCACCCGACCCATCTCGTGACCCCATTGTTGGAGGGTGGGGCCATCAACGCGGAGGGGGAGGGCAGCGCTGCTCGCCAGGTTGGCTGTGAATCTGCCCCCGCCTGGCTTGAGGAAAATCTGTGCATCGCACGCCGCCGCGGTCGTGCCTGCAACTATCCCGCGGCCACTGTGCAGCGCGGAATCCATGGGCCCTTCCAGCGTGAGGCGCCTCGGCCATTGGTACTTTCCTAAAGCGAACGCCCGCGCAAAAATGGCACCTGCAATACTGAGCTGCCCTGACTAAGATATCAGACGCAACGTGTTCGTAGAATTACTGAATGCCCCATGCGACTTGCAATGAGAATGTCCTCGTGCTCCCAGCATGTTCGGCTACAGCAGCCCGCCTCCAAACTGCGTCAAACGAAGATCTCCTGGGAACCATTGGGCATCCAGAACCCATGCCGCGTCCAAATTCCCAGGGCCGCGCTCGATGCCTCTGGACCTTACCGACGACTCGATGCAAAAACCTAAGTACCCATGGGGCCCCCTAGCAGTCGGGTCAGGCTCGGGGGCAAGAAGAACGAAGAAGCGCTGCGCCTGGCGGGGTGCAACTCCAGTGATCTGCATCAACTGGGGCATCAGCGAGGCGGCAGAAAGGCTCTGATCGCAGAGCAAGGCCATGCGCTTGGGATGTCAGCCACCAGATGCACGCGCGTAGCGCTTGAAAGTCCTGAGGCAAGCGCGAATGACGTCAGCCTCAGGTCGCTTACCTACTGGGGCCCCGCCTTGGACCAGCTCGAAAGGGTCGCGCGCTTCGTCCGTGGCCGCGCGGCATTTCGTCCAGGTCCCTCTGGCGCCCCAAACGGGCCCGCAAAGAGATGCTGTGGAAAAGAATGTCAATCTCCAAGTCGGTTGGCTCAGCTGGGCCTGCTGGGGGCCCAGGACATCGGCCCCCTCGAGGAACCCGTGGGCCTCCCGAGCCCCGAACTCCTCGACAGCTTGGATGCGCCATTCTTCCATCCTGCCCCATCGAGCTGGCCCCCAGACAAGAACGCGCAGTTTTTGAATTCCCTGGGGAACTGGAGATCATCTGTGAGGACATCGTGGGCCCCCTCAGGGTCGATCATGAGTGGCCAGAGTCGACTCGGATGCCAGAGCGATCTCCCAGCACCCCAGGCAATCCGAAATGGGCCGCTGGATTTCTGGATGCGCACGAGCTGTTTCACCAGGCCCCCGAGATACCCATCGGCGCGTAGAGCCTGGTTTCTGTTCGGCAGACTGGAACAGCCTCCCAAGATGGCCCACCACCCAGCCAAGAGCCCCCAAGGGCTGGGCAAAAGATCCGCGAAGCGTCGCCGGCACTTTGGCGAGAGGGTGGTCTTCACACTTCATGGGTCGTCCTCCGTGCACAGCAGCAGGCAATGCGCCTGTGGCCCCATTGAGCCCCGCCCAACCGATCTCGTTCCACTTGGGGGAGGTAGCATAGATCACCGAGATGCCTGCGTCTCGAGCGCCTCCCTCCAGCGTGGCGCGCCCAGCGTCTACCCCCCCTAGTTGACAAGCAAGGGCCTCCAGAGGTTCCTGCGCAGCCTGGTAATCAGGCGGTTCCCGCTGATGCCCGATAAGAGAAACCGCGAAGGGCACATGGTGCGCCACGGGAGCCGAGATGTCGACGCCTTTGATGTCTACCCCTATCTTGATAAACGCTGGCCTTTGGGGCTTCAGAGGGGCCGAGAGGTCTGGGGGGGGGGGCCTTCAATCACAGCATCCAGGCTACGATGCACGTGGACAACATCGATCGCGGTCTCCCTTTCTTTGTAGTCCACCAGCGACAGGCACGAGGGGAGCCTCGGATCAGCACGCGCCAAACCTTTAATGAGGTGCGTTGGGAAGCTCAACGTCACTGCGCGAGGTGGAGCAATGAAATCCCCGCTGGGAAAGCATGGGAAACCCCACCGTTCAACTGCAGCCCCGTGCTTCTCCCGGTCGTTGACGTCGCGCGGCGGGAGCCCTTCGCAATGGTGCATATAGAGGGAGTAGATGCCCAAGAGCCGAAGGCTGTGGTGTCCCATGTAGCAGTAGCACAGGCGTCCAAGCACCAGGACAGGATCATTGCACCAGGCCTCGAAGTGGCCATTTGCCATGCCAGGATCAGCGCACCTCCTGAAACTTGTCCAAAATCAAGACGGATTCCCCTGGCACCGAAAACTTTCCAGCCATCCTTCCGAAGATGATCTCCTACCTCACCGTACTGCTGAACCAGACCGAATCCCTGCAGGCAGATGACATCCCCGAGGGAGGAGAGGTGGTGTAGGAGTCTCTTGGCCGTCCGCCAAGAGTTCACATTGCAAGTAGCAACCAAAAAAGTAGTGGCTT